AAAAAAATAAATTAAAACTAAATAACCCCGAACAAAAGAGATTTCTTAAAAACTTAACTTGATTCGAACGGCTGCTATATTTCTCTTCAATGTACTGATCGACTTCTTCCCATTCCACGATTTAGATCCCAGCCGAAGACGAAGAAGATGCCATCTCTTCTTAAAGACTACATGGTAAATGAATGCACAGGATTTAAGAACCTTCGCACATTCTTCGGACTCCTCTTCTCCGTAACAACGGCGCCGTCTGTCCCGTCCATGCCTCCCCGCAGTGAGCTCCCGTGTCGGCATTGTAAGCTCTTCTTTTTGGTCGGGTTTTCGGGAATCTTTGTAGGGGTGAAGAATGTTACTAATGTGTTCAATTTGGCAGGGTCTACGTCGCGACTTCTTTCACGAACTCCTCATCTACTTCACTCGCCGCCGGTCCCGTCCGCAAGAGAGCTCTCGTATCGACATCGTCAATTCTTCATTGTCGTCAAGGGTTTCGAGGGTTACGGTATGTTTATGATTATCATATTATCATTTTATTTTTATAAACAGTACTAATTTCTTCATATGTGGTAGATAGTTATTGAGAATAGAAAGACTATATTGGCTTCGTGTACTTATAACAAGAGCTTGAATCTGCTTTCGACTTGCCTGAATTTATACAAATTGTATAATATGTTCTAACAAAAGTATTGACTAGTAAAAGAAATTTGTAAAAGAGGAAGAAATTGCATTTTTTAGATGAGGGCAAGTGACTTAAAAATCGGGGCTTTTGATAAGGTTCGTTATCAATAATTTAAATGATTAGAATATAAGTAGGACAATTAGTCTAGCATTAATTCATCAATCAATTAAAAGATTAAACAAGGTAGTTGATTATGCACTTAATTAATATTTGGATTTCAATTCACTTAACTAATTATGATTGATATGTTAATTATCACTAACTGGTGATAAACATAGTCATTAATAAATTAAGTAATAAACCATTAAAAATAAGTAGACATATTATAAGCTATTTAGCCATTGCTTAATAATTAGGATGCTAGATTAGTTTCAATTGATGCTTTAAATATTTGAGGTACTGACCACGTTATTATCTGATTTTCTGTTTCTTTCATTGCTATTTGAATTTGCTGCAATTTGCTTTAGAAATTTTGGTGAAATAATGTGTTAAAAGCGAGGATAATATAAATAATAAGCTTAGTTTAAGTAGAAGATATCTTAAAAAGATGAAAATTTAAGTTTAAAATATTACTAAAAATGAGTGTTGGCAACAAATTACTTTGGAAGAGATATTTGAGTGTACATTTAGTTCTGTGAATCTCTTGTATCTTTTGAAAAACGACTTATAAGAGAATGAATCAAAATTATATACATTTACTAAGCGGGCAATTTAATGTGGAATAATGAGTGCTCAAGACTTGTCTTTTCTCTTGCTATTAGCCTATTATCTGCTATAATAGACTTGCTCGTTGTTTAATGCGTATCTTATCGATTATGCATTTATCCTCACACATTTTCTGGGCTTAGCGAGTTACTTGAACTTAATGAATATAAAAGCAACTACTATTGAATTGAATTCATAATCATAAGACGTGTAGCTGAAGTGAATTACCAAATGATGAGAGCAAATACTTTGCCGAATTGAGTTCTCAGGAAATGTTTCGAAATTGAATTCCCAAATGGTGAATTCTTCTAGTACGTTAGATGTTATAGTGTTTGAACTCCTTGAGCGGGTTACCTTAACTCATATTTATGAATAAAGGTGAGTTCAATTGTAAAATACCAAACGTAGATTTTCAATGGGTGAGTTACTTGAATTCCTAGAGTGAGTTTTTATGACTACCAATGACTTGATTCTGATAAGTTGTTGATATATCACATTGGATTCATTATATTATAAATGGCACATTTCTAAATGATGAGAGTAAGCACTTCTTTGAATTAAATTCTCAGGTATTTTGTCAAATTGAATTTACAAATGATGAATTATGTGAATATGTTAGAATTGAAAGTACAATGAGTTATTTGAACATAAAATTTTGAATAAAGACCGATTCAATTCTACATTATCGAACTCAAATTTTTGAGTTAGTTGAATTCTACGAGCAACTTTTGTGAATATCAACAACTTGATTTTGATAAGTTTGGCAAAATATACATTGGGCTCGCAGCGTCTTAAATGGCCAGGTTATTGCATCCTTGATGAGTTCATGGAGAACCAGAGGGGTTATGGGGAATTTGGCCGATTCCTGGGTTTAAGTTTTGCCAACTTCAAATTATATATTAGGAGGAAAGCATTCATTGTATATGTAATGTTTGAAAATTAGAGCAGCTGATTTAGAAAGTTGTATAATTTTTTTACAAGCTCATTATATGCACATATATATATTCTCAATAAAGGTGACATCATTAAGCACAGATTGTCCTTTTACAGTAGTGCTTTAGCTCTCCTACTAAAGTAGTCTCGTAGATTTAGAATTAGCTATATGCAAAGATCACTTTGATCCAAAACATAATTTATTCTAACTTTTACTTAATTAGCCGAGTACTCATTTAGAAAATAAGTTTATCCAGTATTGATCAAGTCACTAATGCGTTAATTCAAACTTGAAGTTTCCCGAATCTAGGTTTGCAAGTTAACTTGTACTTTTTAGATCTCTCTTTCGATACTTTTTTTTAACGTATGTATATCTGATGGGGACATCGGAGCTTGAAAAGTCTATCAGAGATGTGGCCATCGATCTACGGCCACGATCGAGTCGATGTATTTATGAGTCATATTATGCATTTGTCTTTTATTATTCTATGTTCGTATTTGCTTTTGTTATTTTCCATTTTTACCCCTTATTAAAGGGAGGTCCTGTTAAGCCAAAAGGGCATTATTGCCTTTTATTTTTGAGTAATTTGTATGAGGCTATATGTGAGATCCCTTCACTTGAGGAAGAAGCACTTCCTCATGGATCTTGAAAGAGGAGGGAGAGAGGAGAGGGAGGCGATGAGCCAAACTATGCAAATCTTTATTCCTTGGCTGCTTTCCTAATACAAGCTAAAGCCTATTAATAGGCACAAAAGCAACACCTACAGCTATACAAATAGCTACACAAAAGCAAACCTAAATCTAGGACTAATACCTAACAATCACCCCCTTAGTCTAGATTTTACAAAACAAAAGATAACCACTGTTCTTGATAGAACAGCCAAAGAATGATCATGTCGGTCTCCTCCGCCAAAAAACGTCCACCGACATTCAAGCTCCACCTCCCGACAGATATCCTGTCGCACTGCGTCCAACGCAGCCAATCCCAGAGCACCCCTAGCCCGGATTCCGCGCCCTGTGCATCCACCAGCACCCTGCGCCTCAGTGCCCACGCCCTGCGCTTCCAGCCCGCGTCCAAATGCCACAAGCCCGCGCCCGCGCCTTGCACTCATGTGGTCTCTCTCGGACCACATCCTGCACATCCACCCGTGCAGCGAGCCCTGTGCCCTCACCAGCGCTCCACTCGTCACAAGACCACGCTCCGCACTGCGTGTCTTTCACCAGTGCCCCGCGCTCCTATGCGGACTCCTCGTGCACCGCACGACCATGCATCTCCAAGCGCCCCGCACTTTCAACTCTGCTCTCCAAGAGCAGCCGACACTACCTCAGTGCCCCCCGGACTCCACCGGAAATCCAAAAAACTCCACCACAAAGATCCAATCTGATCTTTCAACCAAAGAACCGAAAAAATCTGCTTCAAGACCGATCGAAACTTGATTTAAAATCAAGCAAAAAATCCGTCCTTAACTGCTTCCATGCCTCCGATCTTCTTTGATTTCTTACGCACGAACCCGCATCTCGCCTCTGCCAAGCAACACACGCGGCCTCCTTCAGATCATTGACGTTCCTTCTCACTGTCCCTCACAAATAATGCAATCTTGCTTGGGACTTCGGCACCAGGCTGCGACTGTATTTCTGATCTGAGCTGCACTAGGCCCTGCCCGAGCTTTCGGCTCCCTACCTCAACCAGCGAACCCGGCCAAGATTCTTTATGGCCGGTAGCTCCGGATCACACCCCCAATTTCTTGATCCCGACGTCGGAGCTCTGAGCTTACTCCGGCTTCCTGCATGCAAACAAGTAGCCAAGTCGGCCTCCGTCCGTGACCAGGCTGGCCCAGTCCAACGTCTGATCTGTCACGCGACTGATCCAGCAACCGATCACGCGGGATGCTTCCGCTTCACCCGCACGATTCTCCTTTTGGTCACGGATGTCACCGGAAACCACCGTCCGTGCTCCCTTTGCCGAGCCTTCTACCTTCCGGAAGCCGTCTGCAAGAAAAACTCCGGACCCTCCTTCGACTCCAACGCCAACCCTCGCTGCCAGTCCGCCTTCCTCGTTTTCTTTAGACAAGAAAACACGTCTCCGCCTCCTCCACCTTGATCGCCACCACCACCGTGGCTCTGATACCAGATGTGAGATCCCTTCACTTGAGGAAGAAGCACTTCCTCATGGATCTTGAAAGAGGAGGGAGAGAGGAGAGGGAGGCGGTGAGCCAAACTATGCAAATCTTTATTCCTTGGCTGCTTTCCTAATACAAGCTAAAGCCTATTAATAGGCCCAAAAGCAACACCTACAGCTATACAAATAGCTACACAAAAGCAAACCTAAATCTAGGACTAATACCTAACACTATATATAGCCATTATGTTCTCTTTTCATACTTAATGAATGAATGATAAATTTTCAGTGTGTGAGTTCTTTGTGAGAGGTTGAGAGTGCTTAGGAGAGAAAATCCTTGGAGAGAGAATCGCATCACCCGCCAGCTATGATGCACAGACACGGATACGGCGACACGGAAACTACATGATACGGACCCGCGACACGTCAATTATTGAAAATATAAGACATAAACACGGGTTGAATATGATATTATAATTTTTATATTTTAAAAATAGTGTATAAAAATTGAATAAGTATAATTTAAAAATATAAGTCATTTTACTAGAAATTGTGCTTAAAAAGATTAATGTTAGGATGTCGAGAGTCGGACGTCGATGTCGTTTATCATTCACTGAGAGAGATGAAAATGCTATCGAGAATCAGACATTGATGTTATGCAATAATATTGGACGTCAATATTAAGAGGGCGTTTATCGTCGTTGTTGAGAGGGCGTTGGTCGTCAATTTTGAGAAGGTGTTGGACAAAAATAAGATGTCATGTTATAGGTGTAGAAATTGGTAGCACCGAGCATTAATGTAAAGACACCAAGAATTTGGTATGGTGATCTTTTTGAATTATTGATGTTGTAATGATGTCAGATGTTGATGTTAAGATGACATTGAGCATTGTTGTGAAATCAAAGTTGTAACCCGTCAAAGATAAATGAAAATGAGAATATTCAATGAATGTGGTATTAGGTGCAGACAATTTATTTGGTGTTGTGGATAGGAAATAATAAATTTAGATTTTATATTTTAAATAAATAAAAATTTCAAATACAAGAAAATAATTTTTAAAAAATTCATAAAATATTTAAGATACACGTGTGTCCAATTTGTATTTAATATTTTTTAATCGGACACGTTTTTGGCATTTCCAACACGTGTCGGAGGAGTGTCGGATGCGAGTCGTGTCAGATACGTGTCGGACACTATACGCCTCTTTGAGGAGAAATGTCGGTGCATCATAGCCCACCAACCTTGGAAGAGTCCGGGCTCATGGTTAGTTTTCGTTTTTCGACTTTCCCCTCTTCTTACCACCCACGGTTTCCCCTCCCAAAGCCTCACCGCCGGCCTCTTTCATAACCCCAATGTTGGCTAGACCCAATCCCACCACCACCACCTCAAAACCCCATCTTCTTCCCCCACTCCTCTCAAGCCACCTCTCTCCCCACCTTCACCGACCTTGAGAAAGGCCCCACAAGCCCCAAACCTAGCTGCCGGCCCTACCTGCACCCCCGCCCCACCCCCCCAACAATTCAAATCCCCTCTTGAATACCTTCCATAAGTGATCACTCTTAATTTAGGAAAGCCTAATTTTAAATTTCAAAACAATTTGAATTTGACAATTCTTTCATAACTAATAGAATCTATTTTAGGAAAATTACTAAATTAAATCCTATTTGAATTTCAAATTAGATTGTGTTTAATTAATTCTTTCCTAACCCCTAAATCCAAAATAAGAAACTCAAATATCTCCCCACAATCCCCTCCTAGCCCATTGAAGCCGCCGACCTCTCTTGAATCCCCTTGGGATTTATTTCAAAAATCCACTAAGCTCTCTCTTGGAAATAATTCCTATTTCCACTCCACCTCTCTTGGCCAAAATTTCCAAGAGCCCTGCCTCCTTACTACTTTCCAAAATCTCATCTTGAGTTTTGGAAATAAATCCCAAGTTTCCCCTCTTTCTTACCGCCCCTCTCTCTCTATTTCTCTTCTTTAATTATTCTCAATCAAAATGATTAATTAGGAATTTGTTTGAATTATTTCCCTCCATAAAATCTGAACCAAATTTAATCCCCTAGCCTCCTTCATTGGCCGGCCATCCCCTCCACTTCAACTTTTGAGAGAAACTTCTTTCTCTCTAAGTGGAGTCTTCAAGGAAGCAGCATTGATCTTCGTATAAACATCAATCTTTTAATCCACTGAATGGCCAATACGGAGTTTGACTACGGATTCGTTTACGACGAGCAAGGGAATGTCAACATCCTCCACTCTACCTTCTTTGAATTCAACCCAGACTTTGATAACACTACTGAAGAGTACGTGGACCGCATCATCATCACGCTTTCGGAGGCCATCGATGAGCAACTTGCCGACGTCCAGTGGCAAATTGTTTCGGGACAACAACAAGGGTGAACTTCTTCCCTCGTCAATTATCTTTCTAATCCGCTAACCTTGTAGGTGGTGATTTAATCACAAAGTTTTTGTGCTTCGCCCTCTGCCTCCTCTCAGTAAACGTAGGATATGAGTGTTCTTTCTATGTTGCTTATCTCATTGTTAGATTAGAGATTTTTGTTGAAAATTACTTAATTCGCATGTTGTTGAAATTCTAAATTGTTTTGATAATCCAAGTGTTTAGCATGTGATTTGGCCTAAGCGTAGCTACCCCTCTTATGTTTTCTTTTATCATTTTGATTGCTAATAGTCTTAATTGTTATTTGTTCTTATCAAAATCGTGCACTGTTCTTAGCACATTTATTTAAATCATTGTAGTCTTGCATCAGTATCTTTAGCAATAAAGTTTTATGAGAAAGGAACATGGAACTTCCTTTAGTTCAAATTTGTCCGTGTTGTCACCTGAACCCTATTTGCACGACTTTTAAGATTTTGGTAGAACAAGTTGTGAGAATAAGAGATAAAAGTTAGATAATCTAGAGAAAGAACTTTTGATAGCTGTATTGCCAATATGAAATGTACAGGCTTATTGTGTATATCTCTTATGTTATAATATATGTGTATCATCTGCCTCTCAAAATGGCTCTTTGACCTTTTATTTATAGGGTTTTGTGCAATATAAGAAAAGCTATGTGAAGGATATCAAATGAAATGTGTATCCTAAAGTATGTGGCAAGAAATATTACACAAATCCACGTGGATGATCATTGCTCGATGTTTCTATCTTGAAGATTAAGGCTGCTAATTGTCGGCATACTGGGTGTTGTCACAGACTTGCTAGATTAAGTCATCAATTTCAATTGAGGAAGTCACGGACTAGCTTCAAGTCCTGAATGTCCAAATGCGCTTAGTCAACTTTCCCATGAACCGACCGAGTTCGTCAAGGAATTAGTTCAATTTAGCTTGAACCAAACTCTTGAGATATCTGGGTGTACATTTAATTCAACAATTCTCTTATATTTGATAAATGACTTGAAATTAAAAAAAAACATGATAGTGAATAAAAAATATATACTTTAATTGAGTTAGCAATTTATTGAAAAGTAATTATATATATAATGAGAGAGAGAGAGAGAGAGAGAGAGAGTCAAATTTATCAAGCTAATTTCTACCAATCCTTTTTTATGAAAAGAAAGTGATGTCTGTTTCAGATAAATTAAAATTTAAAAATAAAATTTATTTCATATTTTGCAGGCTGAAGTTGCTGAAGCAGTAACAGTTACGCAGTTTTCAATTTTGAATTTTTTCTTAAAATTAAATGCATGAAAACGCGAGGTTTTGCGCAATAAAATCATTCATTTCGTGTAGCTTTTACTTTTTTATACTTTGCTTTGCTCTGTTAGAGAAAAAACAAAAAGTAAAAAACCAACTCTTAAGTGAAATAAAACGATGGCTACGCCTAATTTAATTCCTTGCGTGCGACTTTGAATTCAATTTGCTTTCGTATGTTTTTACAAGCCAGTCACGCTCCAGTGAAAAATATTTTTAGTAGTTGTGACTCAGATATTAATAAAATAGAGTTTAAAAACTAAAAATGATAAAATTGTACAAGAAAAGAGTGATTATTCTATCATATTCTCTCTCTCCTCAGCTTTCTCTATTTCCTCCTACTTGTAATATTAATTAAAATCATTGAAGAGGTCTTTGGTTGAATCCCATGGTGTATAAATTTTCTTAAAGATTAATGATATCACAAGTAGTTCCAATTTGGATTCCATAAACCTGATGATCACAAGTAATTCCAATTTGCTTGCAAAAGCAAGGAATCTCACAAAGCTTGGCTGGTCTGTTGGCTGCTCATATTATATAACTAGGCAACTGCAGGTCTTGCTTTGCATCCATTCCTTTCTATTCTTCCATTTTTAATCTTATACTGGTGTAGAAAAATGGCGATGATCCTTTCTGCATTTGTTGACAGCTGTGTTGATAAGCTCATTGGCTTGGTTACCGAGAAGGTGGTCATTGTTCTGGGTGTCAAAGATGAGCTCAGAAGACTTCAGAGACGAATGATGAGAATCCAAAAGTTCCTCGAGGCTGCAGAGCGGCGGAGGCTTGAAGACCCATATATCAACCACTGGGTCTGCGAGCTCAAAGACGTAGTTTATGATGCTGATGACATCATTGATCGCTGTAGAATACAAGGTGCTCTCTTGCTTGTCAATCAACCATCCTCTGCCAAGAAAACATGGGTATGTTTCAATTTATCCCTCCTATCCTCTTGCTTTACCAACGTTCCACATCGCTATCAGATCGGTGAAAGTATTAGAAGTCTTAATGATAAACTAGAGGAGATTTATAAAGATAGGTTACAGTTCAACTTAGAGGACAGCGCAATACAGAAGTCCCAAATGATTATGGTAGTGAACACTCGTCAGTCTTCTTCTTTGGACGAATTTGATGTGGTGGGAAGGGAGATTGAAGAGGCTACCAAAGGGTTGGTAGCCTTGATAGTTCAGGAACAGAGGAAGAAGTGCCGTGTGATTGCAGTTACTGGGATGGGAGGGATAGGGAAGACTACACTAGCTCAAAAAATATATAACAATAAAAAGATACAGACTGAGTTTCAAATCAAAGTATGGGTTTGTGTTTCACAAAGTTATAACGAGATAGAATTGTTGCAACAAGTGATTAGAGGGGCTGGAGCTTATTATGGTGAGGCTATAACTAGAACGGAGCTCCAACCACTACTTAAATCTGCTGTTCATGGGAAGAGCCTTTTTCTTGTTTTAGATGATGTTTGGAGGGCAGATGTGTGGATTAATTTGTTTCGAAATCCATTACAGAGTGCTGATGCAATTGTTAGGATTTTAGTCACAACTAGAGATGAAAATGTTGCAAGGGAGATGGGGGTGGCCCACATACACCCGGTAAAGCAGCTTTCTATTCAAACTAGTTGGGAAATGCTATGTAGAAAGGTTTTTGAGGAGGGACAGGAGAATGAGATTGGAAAGTTGGAAGATTTAGGAATTCAGATTGTTGGGAAATGTTCTGGCCTACCTCTAGCCATCAAAGCCATTGCTGGTGTTTTGGCCAAGAAGGGAGCAAATAGAAAAGAATGGGATAAGGTTCTTAAAAATGATGCTTGGTCAATGAGCAACCTGCCTGAAGAACTTCGTGGTGCCCTTTACCTCAGCTATGATGACCTTCCAGCTCCTCTCAAGCAGTGTTTTCTTTATTGTTCCTTATTTCCTGAAGATGAATTAATTGAGCGTGATGATCTTGTTCGACTATGGGTGGCTGAAGGATTTGTGAAGGAGATGCGTGATTCATTAGTGGAAGATGTAGCGGAGGAATACTATATCGAGTTGATTAGGAGAAACCTTTTGCAACCAGATCCTCATTTTTTTAATGCTGGTGCATGTACAATGCACGATCTTATAAGATCTCTTGCAAAGTTTCTATCACATGATGAAATCTTTTCTGGAAATACAATGGCTTCCTCCTCTAGAACAAAACTTCGAAGGCTATCAATAGACAACGAGGAAAATATTACAGATATTATGGGTTTGATAACTGAGCAAAAATGTTTGAGAACTCTACTTACGTACAATGGCATTAGATTGTTGAATGATAATCAGTTGGTAGGTTTAGCATGCCTACGTGTTTTGCAAATTAACGATGTTGATATAGAGAGCATTCCCACTTCCATTGGTAATTTAATACACTTGAGGTATCTTAATTTGGATGATACAAATATCAAGGAGTTGCCAGAATCTATAGGAAGCCTCACCAACCTACAGTTTCTAAATCTACGTGGATGCCTTTATTTAACAACCCTCCCTAAAGCCATTACTAAATTACAAAATCTCAGGCGTCTTGGTCTCTACAGTACACCGCTAATTTTCATACCAAAAGGAATCTCAAAACTAGAGAACATAAACGACCTAAGTGGATTTGTTGTGGCGAATCCAGGGGAGCCAGTAGACTCTTGCAGTGGCCTGGAAGAACTGAACTTTCTTTACCAGCTGAGAAAGCTCAGAATTTTGAAGACGGAGAGGGCTCAGAAAGGAGTTGCATCTCTTCAAAAATTAACTCACCTTGTTTACTTGATGTTGTTCTACACAGAAGCAAAAGACAGACCACTCCCCACTCAAGAAGAAATCAAACGAATTGAGGACGTCTTTGAGGAGTTAGATCCTCCGCGATGCCTGGAACGTCTCTACATAAGCCACTTCTTCGGCAGTCGGTATCCGAGCTGGATGATGTCTCCATCATTTGGAGAACGTCTTCCTTTGTTGACAACACTGAATCTAACAGATAATATTTCATGCACAAAGCTTCCGGCAGCTGGTGAGTTGCCACAACTAAGTCAGCTCGACATAAAAGGCTCAGCTTCAGTGAAGATCATTGGACCTGAATTTCTAGGCGTTGGTGTTGATGTGCGGGACGGAATGCATACATTAACTAGAACAGCCTTCCCAAACCTTCAAAATTTTGCACTCCGTCATATGCCTGAATTGGAGGAGTGGACCTTCAGCAAAATAGCGGAAGAATTTGAGCAAGGAAGAGGAAAGGCTCGTGATTTTCCCAAAATAATTCTACTTCCTCGGTTGGATGAATTGAAACTTATTGATTGTCCAAAGCTTAAAGCACTTCCAAAAGGCCTAGAACATTCTAACATGAAGCAACTTCACATTGATGGAGCTCATCTAATTCGAATAGTGGAAAATTTCATAAATTTGAAGGAAGAACTGAGGATCATTAACAATCAGAGGCTGGAGAGGGTCTCTCATCTTCCTGCACTAAAAGTTCTTATTATCCATGACTGCCCCGCACTGCACTGTGTGGAGAAGCTAGATTCTCTTGAGCAACTTGAACTCCATGATTTTTCGATCGAGGGGCTCCCAGAATGGCTACCAAGGCTGCTCCAGGATCGAAAGAAAGCTGATGATGATGACTTCCATTTTGAATTCATGTGCAATGAGAGAGCTCTTAGGCGATTGCTGAAAGGAGGCACTGACTGGTCATTAATCAAAGATATCCCACGAGTCTTTGCATATGATAATAAACAAAGAGGTTTTCTACGTTACACAAAGAACCCTTTTAACTATTATACAAATGTTGAAATGTAAATCTATTGAAAATTCAAATATTATGTAGTATATGTGATTGATTTGATATATGAATAATGAATGATTGTTATTTAGGTGTTTTGAGATGTTTTAGGGATTTAAGTGTCAAAAAAGTAAATTTAACAATTTAGATGTTACATATATGAATATATTGGAATTAATTGTTCTGTATGTACATCCGCCGTTTTGTTTCTATTTGTACATTTTATTATTCATTTTTTAATATCTTAAGAGCTGTTGAAGCTCAACTTGTAAAGTTGTCTTAGATATTGGGAAGGGAAAAATGCCTAAACTAAGTATGATAAAAATATCTTGAATTCTATTTGAAAGGGAAAACAAAGCCCCAACTAAAGATGATAAATAAGACTGAACCAAACAACCCTTTATTATTATTATTATTATTTACAAGGAATTATTAAGATATTCAAAATTATCTAATAATGGTATGACAAAATGCACAACCTTAACTTTAATCCGTTGTCTCTCAAAATATAATTGTCAGAAAATTGTGCTATGTTATTATTATTTGCCAATATGCTCAATTGCTTTCCTCTTTCATCCAAACGGAAAAATGAAGCTTGTCTGCAACTATTCGTCTAAAGTTCGTTCTTTCTTGCAATTTTTTTTTTCAAATTCCAAAAGAGCTTCTGTACTATAATAATTACAAAATGCAATGAACTGCACTGAGGATTCTTTGTTTCTCATTGTATATTTGCTGAAGCTCAATTGAAGTCAATTCTGTGTTGTTAGAATTGATACTTCTTAAACATTTTGTTTTTCAACTCAACTTTTAGGAATGACAAGTTCATTATTATATACATTAATTGTATTTGATTTGATGAAGAGTGAGTGTAAAGTATTATAAATGTAGGGGTTTTCCGAATTTTGATGTTCGGTTTGATAAAAAAAGAATACATATTAAAACTTTAAGGAATTCTAAATTCACACTATCAAAATGTTAATGTTTTCGAAGCAGTTTGTAACATCGGTTTTAAAACCACAGCTATAGATAAATATAAACAATGATTTTAACCGTTGCTAAATTCTCCTTCAAAAAATTGAAGGTACTCCAATATTTTGCAGCAACGATTTACAAACCATCGGCTAAGCACAGCCGCTCATAAATCTGCTGCTCCTTTTGTGCCCTAGCCAACTCATATCGCAACTTCGTCTTCGTATATCTTGCGATGATCATTCAAGCCGAATCAGCCAACCCCGATGCTGAAGCCACCATCTTGACACCGAATTCTACCATCCTGATGCCGAATCCATCCATCCAAATGATAACACATAAAACCGCTATTAAATACTTTCCAACGAACGCAAATACAATGTATTTGTATCGGTTTCTAAACCATTGCAAATAAATTATTGTGTTTAAACCACTGCAGCAAGTCCTTAAAAGTGCTGTGAAAGCATGATTTATTAGTAGTGTCATTATATTTTTCATATTTTATGTATTCAAAATTTATTCATTTTTATCTGAATTCCAATTACATCTCAAGTTAACCCCGCATGCTGCAGTCCGCCATCATTGTCCTCCGCTCACAAACACCCCTCATGCCGCTGGTCACCGTCCACCACCATTGTTTTATGCTCATTCAAATTACTTGAAATATTTTAAATATAGTATATTATTTTTATATTGTATTCTATTTTACTCGAGTATTTTTTTTAGCAAAATAAATAGCCCTTTAATACATTTAGAATAGGAATAGGAGGAATCAGAGAGAGAACGAAGAGATTGAAAACTAGAGATCGGAGGTTGCATCCAATTGATTTATTGCCTTATGAAGTTTTGAATAAAATTGCATAATTTATTTTAATTAGATTATTAGCATAATCTATTTTTCACTTTAATTGAAATCGCATATAATACGATGAAAGAATAAGCTTTGAAACTGGGTTTTAGGAAAGGAAATTCGCTCTGCTAGGGTTTTGCTTCCTGCGTTCCCTGGCCGCCTCCCTTTCCGCTCCTCCGAGGAGGATCTCCGCTGGGATGTCCTCCTCCACTCTCCCACCCGCTCCTCCCCATCCTTCCGTTCCTTCCTCCTCTGCTGGTTTACCTCGAGATTGGAAGAGCTCATTCGCGCACCCAGCGCTTTGTGTCGAATGAGTTCACCTCTTCGATCTTGCATCATCCGACCGAAAAACGCCACAGCCTCCTTTCACTTCTGCACAGTTCAACGGCGAAGTTCTGAAGAGGCTGCCTCTCTCTGGTAGGATATCCATCGGCCGCTGACCATATTACGAAGCCCTTCTACTACTATCAAAGAACATGGTCGCTCAAGGGTACGCTCTCTTTGCTGACCCTGGATGATGGTTTTTTCCTTCTCAAGTTCAAAACAACAGGGAAGACTATGATATGGCCTGGACGGGTGGACCCTGGTTCTTCTTTGGCAAGCCTTTCATCTTGCAAAAGTGGACGCCGGAGTTTGTTCTAGTTCGTGAAGAGTTCCCTGTCAATACCTCTCTGGATCAAAATTAAAAACTTTCCCCTTTCCTGTTGGAACGCCGGAGGGATCTCAAGATCGCAAGCTGCGTTGGTATTCCATTGGCGGTTGATGCGCTCACGGCAGCCAGACTAGGCTCACCTTTGCTAGGGTGTGCGTCCAGGTTTGCAGTAACTCTCCCCTCCTGATGAGATTTATTAATACCGTTGATGGAAAAGTCTTCCCTCTCACTGTTCTCTATGACTGGAACCAACCCACTGCTCTTCTGCAATTCTATTATGCATCCTCCAATGCATGTCCAAACACCCTAATCCCCACTCTCCTCAGGTCGAACCTTCAAAAATCGTGGTAGAAGCTCAAGCCCGCAAACCACGTAATCCCTATTCCAACTCCAAAGACTTAATATCCCACCCAAACCTCCTGCAACCTCCTTTGTCC